CCCCCCCCCCCCCCCCCCCCCTCTAACGCTACAGAGCATCATTGAACATAACAACTCGGTAAACAATTGCCACCCAACAAACAAATGGTCGTTGTACTTGGAGGGGGGCTTGGTTTCGTCAATGTGTGCAGGAGCAGGACAATCACAACTACATCAACAGCTACCGCACGACAGAAGAGAAACAAAGCTAGCCATGACACCTACCGAGGAAACAACAGAAGCCCCTATCAATGAAAAACCGCGGTAATATAACTCACAACACACAACTACTCCGGAGTACATTTCTTCAGCCTTCAAACAACAACGAACGCAGCAAATAGGCATGTGAGAGCTCTACACCGAATCCCTACCGATGAACTCAACAACAGCAACAACAACAACAACAACACGACACATAAGCAAGAACAGAGGATTGTTTCTGCGCTTTTAGAAGCAGCCTCGCCGTTAAGGGACACCTGAAGGCGGCAACACGATGGCGTCACAAATCTCTGGGTTTTTTCCGCGGTGTTTCCCACGGTATTGTGCGAGCCCATCGACGGAAACAACTCGGGAACTCACCAACCACCTTGAAAGGCACCTCGCAGTGTTGGAGAGTTGCGGCCATCGCAAACTGCTCAGGGTCACTGTAGTCCAAGACCTTTGGTGCACCAGAAATAGTGAGTGCACGGAGCAGGCCGGGGGGGGGGAGGGGCGGGCGAGCATTGGCGCACGCACAAAAGTAAATTATGTGACACGCTCGGAGTGCCGCACGCGCAGCATACAAACAACTAGAGGGTGCATCTCCTGGTCGTTGTTCGTCCGTGTGTAGAGTGCCAAATACAACAAATCGTTCTGGGTGCTCTTTCAAAAACAGCTCCCTCACACCATGTGCGGGAGGTTTGTCATGGGCCCAGGCGCGGCCTAGCCGCCACCGTTTTTTTTGCCCGTCCCAGGAGTGAAAAAAGCAAACGAAAAAATAGCCTGTAAACACGGCCTCTTCCAACTTGATGCAGGGGCCCTAACTTGACTACACGGGTGACCGAAATTATCCTCCTTTTCGACCAACAAGATCTACAGCGCACCGATTGACGATCTGCTAGCTTCTGAGGAGGAAGAACAATACGCCACTCTTCGTTGCACCGGTTTGGTGTTGCTCCGTTTAGAGATGGCCGAGCTACACAGGCGTTTGTGCCCAAAATTCGTACTGAGTATGAAATACCTCACCCTAAGACCGATGTTTATGGAAGCAGAATCTTTAACAAAATGTTGAAA